CAGAATATTCCTTATTTGGGCACACATACACAAGAATGTAATAAAATTGCAAACAACCTGTTGCCATTCGAGGTTTGATGCATCTCGGCGATCGTTCTCAGCCAGTCGCATCTCGTTTCTTGCAATCGTTGCATGAACAGTGTTCAAAACCTTCAAAAATTCACTCTCGAATGTGTCTGGCCCTGATGAATTTGCGTTGTGCGCTGAGCCATTCGCATCAGGTGTGAAAGACACCTGAAAATGCTTCGTACAATCTCTCGTCGCCAACAATTCGATGTGTGTTGTATAAAAGGAATGCTGTTGTGTGCAGTCAAGAATATGCCGTAGAATATCTTGACGAACCATCTACGAAACTATTCATCAAGCACTGTCGCAACCCAAATTGAGAAAATGGGTGGAAATGCAATGAGAAATCTTCGAGAAAATAGATAACTGTTCTTGTTTTGATGCCGAAGTCAATTGATCGGCAACGAATTCGAAGAACTTCATGTAATTTATGGGTAGAACTCAATCATAGAAAAGGCATTTGCGAAATTACTTTTTCGGTTCAAAAAGCTGTGTACTTTATGATCGGTTCAAATAGGTTAAAAACCTTGCGATCTTTTCCGATGAGATCGCTGATTCGTCATGCAACATACTCAAATAATTAAGAACGGTCAGCCGACTCTTCAATGTTTTCGAGATGTTTGCAGTGTGAAAAGTTTCGCATTGCTCACGCTTAATAGTGACATGCGATTTGCTGAATAGCGACAGTTATTGTCAGCACTGATTCGTCTGATCATTCTCATGCTTCATGAACACNACCCTTTTAACAACATTGCTCGCTCCGGGACTACCATTGCAAAGCTTCGAGTGTACGCCAACAAGCGGAATGTGCTCTGCGGTTGCGCAACTGTCGTATATCCTCAGTTTGTCACGAGACTCATCGTATTTCCCGAATTCTTTCTTAAAACAACACTGGGTAGGAGGAAAATCTTTCGGATTTAGTGCTTCAAAATTAACGAGAAACGCACCTGATAGAGGTGATGAACATGATGGGATATCGAATGGTATTGCTCGACACGGAGGCAGAGAATTCGAGCGAGGAATTTGAAGGCAATTTTTTGTAAAAGAGGTGGTACAGGACTGCCGTGTTGTCCGTGGTGATGAACATTCAACTAAATTTTATTCGTTGTATTATCAGACTGAACTGAACTTCAGTCACCAAACTAAACGAATGAATTCACATGAATTTTTGTTGAAATGAATAAATTCACATGAATTCGAAATATCATAAAACGTTGAAATGAATTTTTGCGTGCAATCGACTGTTTTTTATCGAAGAGCATTTCGTAAGCGCTCTAACAGATGACTGTGTGATTGGAATTTTCGCAAATATTGATATCTAGCAAATGAGCGTCAAATATTTTCACCATGATCAGCCAGCCCTTCAATTCCCCACAACCACGGGATATCACAGGTGATTAATCCAGAAATGGAAACAACCCAGTTCTTTCGATGTTCCTTGGTGTTTTGCATTGTGATCACGATATTTTGCACTTTCTCACGCTTTTATGGTTTTATTAATAAAGCAGTGAGGGAGTGGAAGATTATAACAGAATTACAATGCCACCAACTGAGAAATTTCACGGCCTTTTGATGTTGCAATCATGGAAAGATCAAAAGGCCGGGAACGGAATGTGAACATTGTTATAGAAATCAGCGACATGATTTCGATAGCAATCTTCACACTCATAATGAAAAACAAAGCATACTTCTTGCGTAGGTAAGGTACCTAACTGTGTATGAACAAGATAAACTCACTGTGAAAACGGTCATTGCTGTCGCAAGCGATACAATGAATATAGTGACTCCGTAATATATGCCTAAAATTTATTTCAAGATTATGCCAGTAATACGATCGAAAATGAAAATGTTATCAAATGCTTGAAAACACAACAGATACACTGTTGGAGGGGGAGGGGGGGGGGGTAGCAAACAAAAATAAAATTGATGCATAAGGGAAACATAATAGTGGGATGCTGATCAGAATCACGATCAATCATACCTATTAGAGGGAGTGCTTCTGCGGTTGGTGGCATTCCTTCGGCTACCAACATCAAAAACACGGTTGTCGAGAGCAGTGAGGTGATTCCTTAATTGATCAGCTATGAACTCGAAATAAAATTCGCTAACGTAAGAAGGGATTCAGCAGGTGAAAGAACGGTTGCAACGAACGAAATTTTCTTCGTGATTATCTTACAGGAATCTATTGAAATTTAATGATCGTCCTCATATTTTATTCAAAGTTCAAACACGCGAGTCAAATTCTAATCATCACTCATAACGGAAAAAATTTCACTGATCCCAAACTCCCGGTACTCACTTCACAGAAACCAACACACTGCCATTGATAAACATCTTGAGTATTTCTGGCATATATACATACGTCAGACATACCGAAGATCACTTTCTTAGAGGATATGGTAATCCTACATATTGAGAGTTAGGAGTTATCGCTCAAATTCAAACATAGATCCCATACTTCAGGTATTTTCCAAAAATGTTTTCATTCCGCTGATGATGACCTCAAAAAACAGTTGAAAAATTCCGGGTATGATTGTGGTGCATTCAGAAAAACAACTCACCAAGAGTAACTTTTTCGCCAGAATCTGAAGGCATATAAAAGCCAAGCAAAGCGATTGCACTTATCAGAACACATGGTAGGATCAGATTGAAAACCTTAAACATTCATTACTCACTACCATGAATGGATATTGATTGAGTCGACGTTGTGATACACTGGTCAAAAAAATGTAGTGAAGATTTAGTTTCATCCTTCCGTATTCGAGAAAGTATTCCATAATGCACTCAATGGAAATAGAACGTTCAAATGACAGGGTTCAGTTATTTAGGAAAAAATTTCCGTATTATAATTATCCCCATGAAAGCAATAGGAGGGGAAGAAGTAATTGTTAATTACAAAGAGGTATAATTCAATAACGCCAATATATCATCAGTTTGGGATTGCTCGTTCTATCGTAGTATTTTAGTTGCGAAGGGCGCTTTTTGAATGAGTCAACGTAATTACTAATATTCGCAACTCACATAGAACATCGGTCTCCTTTGAATGCTGATGTGAATGTCAACAAATGGATATGGCTCTGGACAACAGCTATATATCACGTAGTTTTTCTCTGCCCTGAAATATTGTCGCACAATTTGCTGTTGAAGAGCAAATGCGCCTAAGATTACTGACAACACAGTTTATTCAAAGAAGTAAGAGATATCTCTTTTGGAATGCTCAAAATGTTCTTCAGAAAGTTGGAACACAGATGAATTATTTTTCACAGAACAACATGCCCCTTGGGAGACAATCCGTGAGTTCAGTCAAACGACTAATTGTTAAGAAATGTGGTGACAGAATATAAGTGTCATGAATGTGACAAAGAAAGTGTTGCAATATAGATTGCAAAGATCACGGAACGAAATAGTTAGAATAAATTAGTTCTAAATCGACCTTATCAAATTCAGGTGCCATTCAGAACTCGTCATGAAATTCGTTTCATCACCTGAAGGATTGAATAAATTGAGATTATTACTTACTTGCCTAACTGAGAGTATACATGAACACGGTCAATTAAGCGAATTCATCTACGTAAATCAATAGTTGCGAGTTTGTCCTCAGCAAAAGTCGTCAATGAGTCCCATCAGTCAATAATCTCAATCACTTCTTCCAAATCATTTTCACAAGCTTTCGTAGACAAAACTATATCCGTGCTAAACAACACATCGTTGCCTATTTCCTCAAATGCTTTCTGCTCCTAAAATTGTCGTTGAAATTCAAACAAAAAATGAGGCATTTTTATGGCTTTTCATCTCTTTCTTACTCTATTTTTGGTCATTTGGGAATGAAGCATTCAATGAAAGCTGACCAACTGGACGTCTAGAGAAGGATGAGAAAGATTTGAAGAGTTAAAAAATTCACAGAATAATCTTTGCTTTCTCCTTCCCTCTAATAACTAATTCATCCTGTTGAATTAATTCTCAGTGACCAAAAACTTTTTTTTTGCACAATACGATTCGTCTACGAGTTGTTTGACCTTATTATAGTTTTTTTTCTATTTGGAACGTAGTTACTCACAATCAGTATTATGCATTAATGAAAAACGAATAAGATCCCGACAACACTGAATAAACGAACTGACCCTTCTCTGAGTTAAGGAGGATATCAATTTTCGTGCCATCGTAAGCCCACGAAGCGAATTTGAGCACACAGTTCTGAATATCAAAATATAATTTGAAGGATGGTGTTCGTTCGACGAACATGAGAAATCGTTTGTTATAAACAAGGTTGTTATGCATGACATTCAAGGAAATTCTTAGATTGACTCATCGTGATTCGGTGATTCCTTAGAGACATTTTTCATTCAACGGCTCATAATAATTACACCCACAATCAGAGATGCAATAAAATGAACTGCCACTCTCCGTGAAACAATTCACACGTTCAGGTACCGAATCTGAGTCAAATTCGGAAGAGTGTAATCAAGCATTTAACTGCATGCTAAATAATTATAGATATTATCTGCTGTCTCAAAAAAAGCAATAATTGGAGGAAGTGACCTAGTCAGAGAGGATGAACCTAAGGGGCGCCGTCCCCTTCTCCCCACCCCCCCCCCCTGGATTGTGGAGGAAAATGAGACAAGAGGTGTGAATGAGGACCGAAAAGAGGAGGGAAGGGAGACGAAAGTAAGAAAAAGGAGAAAGAAAAGAAGTTAGAGGATGGAGAGAGGTAGGAAAAATACACCTCCGAAGTTCAGCTACTTTCACAGGGCAGACGATTTTGCGCCCCTCCTGCCCTTTGCAAAAAATCCCTCTAGGTCACTGATCAAAGATAACGCAAGACCGCATAAAAGAATTCATTAATTCATCGTTTGCTCGTCGTCTCGATGACGAAAATAATCCACTGGATTTCATCGCTTTCATCGAACTTTTCAATGTGAGACTGAAATACTTGGTTAAGCGAGGCAACGAATGTTCACCTGATAATCGAACGGATAGTATCGAACGTCCAACGGACAACTGCTCTTGAAAATTCCTGCGGCAGACCATGAAACGTTTCCTTGAAAGTTCACCAAGACGTCTGTGCTCATCACAGACTCCTTGTAATGGGCATCAGCACTGCAATGTTTTTATGCATAATTTCGCAACAACATCAACAATTTTCAACTATTCTACGAGGAACCAGTTGACGTCAATTTTCGGAAAGATTCCCTGATTTTTTATGAATCTGACACTCATTCTAACCATCATATTATTTGCCGTTCTTCGTTTCAAGGGAATTTCGAGGCATTCCTTTCAGAATGATAACATGAGTTGAGTCCTTTGAACTAACTCATTTACGGTTTGACGGAAGAATTGAGCTAGCCAAACCTTGCTTGCATGTCTGAGGTTAGACAGTGCTCCGAATTAGTCGAAATCAACACGCTATTCATTGCGCGATTACATTTTATGATCACATAGGAACATTCAAGTTGATGTAGGGGATAACTACATTCGTGCACTCTTTCTCACAAATAACTTATAACGTAAAAATGTTAGCAGCATGAAAATCCTCATGTTAACAGAGAAACATCTGGAGCGAGGAATGCTTTACGTATAATAAATAAGTTTTATGCACGCATTCGATTGCTATGGATATAGTGAATGTCGACGATCCCTTGAACCTGGAAAGTAGATTGACAGCTCTTAAGTTATGTGGGAGTCGAATGATGAACGATATCCGCAACGACTGACTGGATTTGATGAGAATTACGTGTTCTGCTGGATGAGAATTAGTTTGAAATATTTGCCATCGTTATCACCGACAAATCACGAATAAAAACAATACTGACATGCAAGAAGCATACAATCAGGCAAGAAAGCGTAGAGATTCACTATGAGATTGCGCACATACTTTCTATTTATTCACCTATCAAATTCATGAATCATTGAATCTGCGTCAGTTAAGGTCACAACTTTGGGGAACCCAAAGTTCGATTAGGGGATTGACGCTGGTAGAAGGCATTTATTTGATCTTCAGGCAAGTTGGCTGCTTTGGACATAATGTGAAAAATTGAAGATGTAAGCGAAAAAATGTGATGCGACGCGATGATGCGTTGTAAATTTGTCGACTTGCTCAAATATAAACTCTCAGAAAATTTGTTTGTTTTTAGAGGGATTAGGGGACCGCTCCCACCGAACCCAAGCATTCATTGTGATCAACTGGAATGCATTTCCTTTCAGTTGTTGCTGCAAAAAATAGAGTCTAGAAATTTAAGAAGCGGAAGTATTGTCAGCTGACGTATGCCTGTGTGTTGCGTTGCTAGAAATGTATGGAACACAGCAATTCGAGGCCTAGAACTTCCTAATATCAGCTGAAACAGTTGTTCTGTGCCTCTGTGTTCACGAATGACGAATAATCTTAACAGAAAGATATAATCATTTTGTCCTCATGCCCTGCAGCAAGATTGTCGCTGATAGCAGTTAAGTAGAGAAACTCATTTTATGACGCATTATTACTGGCTGTGGCCGATTACAGCGATACTTTTCAGATGATGAAACCCAATAAGTGCCACTATGCATCGACGCTACGCAAAAACATTTTGACAATGACAAAAATTTTCTTAATTGAGAATTATACTTACAATTAGCGTGCCAAATTTCATGATCATTTCATGCAATCTTATTGATATCTCATCGAAAAATATTCCACCAAACAGCTGTGCGCATTCCTCCAGACATAAATATAATTGATGGCATGGTCCCAAACGAATGGACGTACGAGCAAACGAACACATGTGTTTACCTAGTCATATTTCTCGACAATCATGGACAGACACATTTCGTGAAAGATATGTGGAATGAAATGAGCTTAGTTGATGAGTAAACGCAATAGTGCATTCATAAATAAAACATAGCATTGCATGCAGTAGGTTATTGAAGTGCGTTATGGTCTTAATTTTAAAAAAAAGAAAAAAAACGAAAAAATTTGCAAAATAAATAGACTGCCGAATCACTAACAATTTAAAAAAACTTGAAAATTCGCAGTATTCTTCAATCAAACGAAATTCCTCATTCCTAGCAACAAGCGTCTAGACATTGCATTCGAATTTCCCTTACAATCAAGGAAAACAAAAAAGGAAAGGGAGCATCTGTCACGTCAATTACCATTACAAGAGATGACAACAAAATCGCAAATTGTCGTTATTGAAAGCGCAAAGCACTTCCAAAAAGTTCTGTAAATGTCAGGCTCTACGCTCAATAATTTGGATGAATGGAATTAATTTGGATGGAATCATCAGGTCCATTTCTTGAATTTGTATGAATGATGCTGCTTAAGTACTATCGTTCGATTGTCCCATCAGCACATGAGCTTCAAGATTTCAGGTTTATTAGATATTTTAACAGTGGTTTAATTGAACCGATTGAATTGTCAGCTAATTGAATCACAAAAAATGTTCAGTGGGAGGGAATTAAAACAGGCTGAGTTGAACAGTTTTGATCACTTACTTATTGTAGAGTATCACATCAGGCCTCCAAATACGTTCGTAGGGTATGTGAATGAACGTCAAGTTGTCGAATTCATTTGGATCCCAAATTAACTTATAATCAACCCAATTTTGTCGAATCCACGCATTTGTCGTAATGATCTGGTTCCTCTCATCCTGAATTCATTTGTACAACCTAATAGGCGGTCACATATTCGAGGGCAGTAGAACCTTATATATCATCAGCAAAGAGGTGATTGGAAGATTGTAGCTGTTTGATCAAATAACTTTTTGAGACAGTTTAGTGACTAGTCCATTAGTCTGCTAGACGATTCATGATCCGGAAAAAGAAGGTGTAGTTTATTGAGCATTCTTAGTTGTCTCAGTTTCTCTACGCCGTTAGAGATCACCGTTACAATTCTGTAGTCGAAACATGGCAATGAGTCGAATTGAATGAAACGAGTACTTTCTACCAGCTGCCATGAAAAGTATTAACGCTTTGGATCAAAGATTGCTGCTGATAATTCCCAGTCATTTTTTAATTTCCAATTTCTGCCACATTCATCGAGGATAAGCCACATTCATGGAGGACCATTTATTGCCACACTCATGGAGTACCATTTATTATCGCTGTTCCCAGCTCAGTTATGTATTACTTTTCGATAAGATCAATGAAGTTGATATATGTGGGCGCCCATAATTGTATTCATTAACGCAAAACAAATTCATCATTCATAATCGCCATAACAAAAACTTTATGGAGCGGAAAGACATTGAGTATACGTGACGCTAACGGGCGCAAGAAATAGGAACGGCTTGGAAAGCATGAAGAGAAAAAAGCTGAGCACGCACAAGTAGAATGGATTGAAGGTTTTGTCTGGTTGAAAAGCTTTAATTGGCTTATGGAAAGAAATTATTGCGAATATTCCCAGTGTTCTCCAGAATACTTTAGCGGTGAATTGATTTTCCACGAATTGTGCATGACATTTTCATCAGACTCGTTTTTGGTTACATTCGAATCGAGGATTTCCAATATAATTGAATTTAGATAAACAAATATTGTGTTATACTTACAACATCGATGATTTGCGTAAGTGAAAATGAAAAGGTGACGTTAACTGGTAAATCGTAGCGTATGGACGGACGAACATTGCTCTCATAATCGGTCAGAAGATGGCGATACAGACGAATTACACTCTTCTCGCATTCTGAAAACAGCATTCATTTTCTCGATCAATTAATCTAATTTACTGCGACATCTTGCTCCATTACACTGCGCTGGTGTTGCCATTTGGGTATCGCAAGGAGCAACATTCCAGATAAAGTTGTGCCATCAAGAANNNCCATCTTAATCTGTGATATTTTTAGGCTAAGTAACCATGCATACGGTATCTAGCACCTCAAGGGATTCGTTTTTCAATCAATTCAACAAATACCAAGAATAGCTCAAATGCTTCAAATGAAATTTCTAAGAAAGCATGAAGCATAGTGATCGTGCGGAATGTATTCATGTGATTCTTCAAACTATTTGAAATACATGACTGGTTTCGGAACAAGTGCTGTGAATGTGTACGTTAGAAAAATAGTGCTTTGACTTATTCCGAAGAGAACTAAAAGGATTGATTCAACACTGACAAATCTATTGTTATTCCCTGCGAATGAATTGAGAAGAGTCAATTCAAACTTGTATGCATCGTCGAGCTTGAGAGACCCAAGCATCAATGTCATTCCCATGACGATCATCGATAATGAATAGTACTTTGATTAGTAACTAGCGATCTTCTTCAATGGTCGCCTCGCAATTAGTTTGATAAATAAGTGGAGAGCAAAAGTGCGTATGCTGAATGAAGAAACGACGAATGTCATGTGCCTCCTCGACTAAACTCACAACCTTCGTTCTATTCGAATAGAGTTCATCGGTTAAAATGTTTAACGGCTAAGCTAAACATTCTTCAGGCAGTAAGAAGTCCGGATTACCCAATCTAACTGAGCCTTTGAAAAGATAAACGTGCATGGAAATGGATCCTTCAGAACATTTCCAGCCTTTGACAGATACTAAATGGTCAAAATGCCTCAGTAAAAGTATCCACTTTGAAGGAGTTTGCACTGCTTTCTCCAGCTATGAGAAAACAACAGTCATGATTGAAAGATAATTCGCGTTGGGTGAATCATTCCATGGTTTACCTTTGAACGGACAGAAATCTGCAGTTGCATCAAAAGCTACGACTGCATTGCTCCCTAATTCACATTCTCTCATTCCAATGAAATTCTAGCATTGTGGAAAAATTTGCGCTTCAACAGTTCGACTCCTACCTGTATGCCAACCAAAACGAGCCACTCGTTGCCAGCTCTAGAATGTGTTGATGAAGTGCTCGCAAAATGTTTATCCAGTCGAATGCACGAGATATTTTTCATTGCTCAATATTAAGGATTCCCCCTTTCACGCCGATAAAATTATAAGTGCTGAATTCTCAAACCAACAAGCACCGAAGCCATGATAACGGCAATAGGGCTGGGGCAATATGAGCAGATGGTTGTTGGATATATTCTTTGCAATCTCGTCGAAATGGCGTAATCAGGTGATCCAAAATTTTTCGCTAAAAAACTCCACACATTCAGTAGGATTGAAACGTGGAGAATTTGTAGGAATTTCATTATGTTTGTATGCAACTTT